TAAATAAATGTAAATACGAGGTTAATGTGATTACTTGTCTTTATTCTGTTTCCCCAACTAGAGTCTAAGCCCTATGAAGGCAAGGCTGTTTTTGTACTCTGCTGTATCTCCACTCCAATACAGTACTTACACTGGTATAGTATACATGAATCTGTTAGGATTAAAGCTATTCAGAATGACCAGTTTCAGAAAATCTTCTTTCAGATTCTAATGAGATTTCTAAGGTCTCGTCAGGATAAAGGATTTATAACTGGCATGAATATTTACACTTTATATTAGTGAAGTGGCTTTGGCATGGAGACCCAGAAACCAAATCCTCATAGCACCATCCTTGGCAAGTGCCTAGTCCCTAGTTCCCCATTTGAAAATGGCCTATGGCGAGAGATTAAAGAAGACAGATGGTTTGGGCCTTTGAAAGAGAGGAACATTGGCCTTGGGTTCTTTTTCTCCTCAGTGATAAAAAAACCCTAAAACATGTTCTCTCCTGATGAACCCAACTATATGTGGAGCTGAGCGTGGGGTAGGGGAAGAGAAAGTTAGGGAGGGTCCTGTCAATGCTTGGGTTTTACCCTGCAACTGATCAAAGTGATTATTTGGCTTTGATCAGAGGTGTTTTTCAAAAACACAAGTGAGTTTCTTATAAATATCAATATGAGTTTTGGCAACACACCCAGCCTGCTAGCTACAATTAACCAAAAGGTCCATGAGTTAATCAGCGTCGACATTGCCATTTCAAGCCTGAAAGAGAAAACAGAAAAGCTTTAAGTAGCAGGTTCCCTAATTCTAAGGCACCGGTTCTCAACCTGTGGGTCGCAACCCCTTTGGGGGTCAAATGACCCTTTCACAGGGGTCACCTAAAACCATGGGAAAACACGTATTTCTGATGGTCTTAGGAACCGAGACACCACTCCTTTATCCGTCTCCAGGCAGGTCCATCCACATGCAGATACACCCACATACGAGTACCCAGCATGAAGACTGTTACCCATGCTACACCATGCTTCAAGACAAAATTTCTTTTATTTCTAATTAGAAATAAGTATTTCACAATATATAGTTACATATTGTTTTTGCGATTAATCACTATTCTTTCATTATGTTCAATTTGTAACGATGAAAATACATCCTGCCTATCAGATATTTACATGATGGTTCATAACAGTAGCAAAATCACAGTGATGAAGTAGCAACAAAAATAATGTGATGGTTGGGGGTCCCCACCACATGAGGAACGTATGAACGGATCACAGCATTAGGAAGGTTGAGAACCACTGCTCGAAGGCGTCCAGGTGGCATACTGGTTTCCAAGTTGACCTGCTAACCATCCCACCACCAGCTGCTCTTCCAGAGAAAGAGGAGGCAGAGATGTGTTGTGGTTAGGTGCCTTGAGTGGGTTGCACAGCACAGCGCCCCTATGTACAGCAGAAGGAAATACCTCCCAGTCCTGCACCATCCTCACAAGTACTGTTATGTTCGAACCCAATGTCGCAACCACTGTGTCAACACATCTCTTCAAGGGTCTTCCTCTTTGTTGCTGCCCCTCTACTTTACCAAACATGTTGTCCTTTTTCCAGGACCTTGTCTCTCTTGATAACATGTCCAAAGATGTGAGACAAGGTCTCACCGTCTCACTTCTAAGTCGTATCCCAGCGATACTTCCAAGACACAGCTGTTGGTTCTTTTGGCAGACCATGGTACCTTCAACAGGCTTCTCCAGCATCATAACTCAACCCATCGATTCGTCTTTGGTCTTCCTTACGCGGTGTCCAACTTTCATATGCCCGTGAGGTGGCTGAAAATACCGAGGCTCGGGTCAGGCGCACTTTAGTCCTTAAAGTGACACCATTGCTCTCCAGCACTTTAAAGACAGCAAGATCAGGGCAAGGTGTCATTTGATCTCTTGACTGCTGCCTCCATGAAAACTGATTGTGGAGCCAAGCAAGACAAAATCCTTGACAACTTCCATCTTTTCTCTTTTTAGCATGAAGTTACCGATTGGTCCAATTGTAAGGATTTTTGGTTTCTTTGCATTGAATTATAATCCATCCTGAAGGCTGCAATCCTTGAACATCACCAGCAAGTGCTTCAAGTCCTCCTCACTTTCTGTAAATAAGATTGTGTCATCTGCATATGTTATTGTTGTTGGCGGCTGTTGAGTAGGTTCCAACCCATAGCAACCCTAGGAAATGCTGCCCGGTCCTGTGCCTCAGACAATGGTTCCTATGCTTGAGCCCATTGTACCAGCCACCGTGTCAACCCACTCGTAAAGACCATCCTCTATTTCACTGCCCTTCTACGTCTGCATATAGAAGGTTATTAATAAGCCTCTTCCAGCCCTTGTGCTCCATCCCTCTTCATACGGTCCAGTTCCGTGGATGATTTGCTCAGCATACAGATGGAATAAGGATGCAACCCTGATGCCTACCTTTCCTGATGATTTTAAACCATGCAGTTTGTTCTATTCAAAGGCGTGCTCCTGATCTCTAAGCAGGTTCTTCACGAGTCCAGAAGCGCTCTGGAACCCCCATTCGTCTCAGGGTCTCCCATCGGCGGTTATGAGCCACACAGTCAGATGCTCTTGCAAAATGGCGAAGATTCACAATCTGGGAAATTCACGGGGTCAGTCCCACCTGGTCCCACAGGGTCATGACCAGTCGGAACCAACTCGGAGGTAGGGGGTTCTTTGGGTTCTTACTCGTTCAGACAGCACAGCTCTGAGAGTGGGGCCAGGACCCACCCCAATAGCTGAGCCTGAGCAGGAGAATTTGCAGAAGGCAGGTATAGATTGGTTTCAAGGATAATGACGGAGGCTGAGAAAAACCACGAAGACCAAGAGAAGTTGATCTTACTTCACTTTGGCCTGAGGGAAGGGGCCCCAGGGAGCTTCCTCCAGGGATGGCCCGTGCCCCAACCCCTTCAAGCCCCAACCCATTCACCGACTCCCAGGCTAGCTCTGAGCTCCCAGATCCTTGGTGCCCAAAGGACCCTGGTCAGCCTAATGGGCCAGTCCCCAGTCTTGGGACCCAGAGCCAGCCCTCCTTGGCCTGCCTAGAGCTTCAAGCTCTCAGAGCCCACACGCCCTGGGGTTCTTCTTAATGGTGGGCTGCAACCCCAGACTAGAAGGCTGTGCGGGGCGGGGGCTCTTCCGGCCAGAAAGGCAGGCCCTGGGCAAGGACAGCGCCTACCCAGGGCCAAAGGACTGGCCTGGACGGCCAAGCCCAAGCCACAGCAGTCCTTCAATCAGGGTGGCCATCACGGTGGCCTATAGCCTCTCTCTGCCCGCATCCCCACACCCCTCTTCCGCGTGTGACGTGGAGCTCTCCCTTCAGCTCCCTGCAGGCCTGAGGTAGCGCAAACCCCCTAGGGAGCATTGGTCTCGCCAAGGCTACGATCCGCGATGCTCTGCGACCATCAGGAAACTGGTACGCAGACCCCACCTCCCCGAGGAAGCCCCCCTCAGAGCCCTGTGTGCTGGGCCCACAGCCCTGCCCACTAAGTGGGGAAGTCGGGGTGGGGACCCCCCAAAGACACGAAGGAAGGGAAGTGGAAGAGCTGGGCCAAGCAAAGGGTCTCTCTATTCTGTGAGCTGGGCCCCAGCGTGATGGGCCATATGCAAACTTGACTTTGAATTTCAGCCATGCGTAACCACTATTCCATCAGAGCTGGACAAACTTGACTTTGTTTGTTTTGTTTGGGTTGTACACCTCTGCCTTACTTTTTTAACCCCTTTCAGTTGATTTTTTTCCCACCCCCTCAGATTTTAAAATACTTTATCTTGGGAGAAAATTTCAAAACCCATTGAACTAACTGAAAACCTTTGGTCTTGCTCAACCGTGGAAATCATTATATGTTTCAGGGCTGCAACACAGACAAAAAATGACACTAAGTGAAATTGTTGCAAAGGAAATAATAGGGATCCACTCCCCTTACACACACACACACACACACACAGAGTCACTGTCCCAGCCTCCCTCACGTAGCAGCCTGGCTCTCATTCCTGAGTTAACTGTTGACACTTGGAACAACACTCTCCTAACAACTGCCTCAAGGCGATTGAGGGAAGAAAGGACTATCAAGTAGCTGGATGCGTGCCACGGGAAATAAAATAGGGAATAGGTCCTATAAAGATGAACCCTTGCCAGGCTGAGGGGACTTTGCTCGGGATTTTGGCCACTCACTCTGGCCTGCCCAGCTGCGCACGCTTGGAGCACGGGGGCCCGCATTGACCTGGCTGTGGGATGGAAAGAGCGAGCCCAGCATTTGTGAGTCACGTGCCCTGTCCTACAATAAAGGGTATTAACTGCCCTCTGAACGGTGATCAATATCTCCGAGGCAGGAAGGAAAACACGAAAGGTTCCCAAAAATCTTGCTGTTTTCCTTGAATTGATTTGCTTTCATGTGGGCAAGTCTAAAACGTTTGTACCGGCCCGAAACACCGGCTCCTCGGCAGAAGGCCGTGGGTGCAGGCTCTGTGGCAGGGCCTGTTTCTGAGAGCCTTTAGTGAGCCTCTGTGTCGTGTGGGGTGGGTGGCAGCTGATGCTTTCCCTGTGTTTGCGACAGAAAGCGTCCTCCTAGCCACTGGCCACCAGCATGACTGAGGCTTCGGCAGAGAGGAAACAGCACAGACTGTCTCCCAGGAAGCTCGGCCTTGGCTAAATCCCAGACAGTCCATTTAAAAGAAGTGGAAGGAAGATGAACCTTTGGGCTCCTGAAAGGATTGTTCTGACTGAGACTGGCCATAAAAATGCGATTGGCTGTTCCCCGGCAGGGCCAAAGTGCATCCAGAATAGAATGTCTTCTCCTCCGCCTCGTGCATTTAGTATTTTGGCTCAGAGGAGGTGACCAGCACGCTGTACTTCCCTGAGGAAAGATGGAGTCTCAGGAGAAGTCCAAGAAGGAAGGGGTAAGTCCACCGAACAGAGGAGCAAACAGAGCCGCCCTGGTTGCCAAGGTCTCTGTTGAGCCTTCCTGGGGTGTCCCTGGGGCAGGGGTGGGGGGGCACGGTCACTGGCTTTGCTGTGGGAACTCTGTGCTAGTGAGGATGGTTTTTGAGGGTCTGATCTCCAGAATCCACCCAGCAGCTGGGGGTCTTGCAAGGATTAGAACAAGGGATTCAGGAGTCCGGTGGCACAGTGGGGAAGCGCTAAGCTGTGGGTTTGAGCCCCCTCAGTGCTCTGTGGGAGACTTGGAGATATGCCGGAGGCAAAAATTATAGCCTAGAAAGCCCTCAGGCCGCTCCAAGGTGTGCTGGGGGTCACCGTGATTTGACAATCAGTCAGCCGCGTGCAACATCAGCGAGGAAATGGCTTGGGTCTGATGCTCTTGGGGAATCACCATACTGGACACGTGTCCTTTAAGCGCCCTTGCGATTGCATTGTCTTGAGGTCAGAACTGGAGGCGGCGGCGGCATTCTGAAATCAAGTGTGCCGGTCACCCATTCTTACACCCAGTGCGATGCTTTTCATCTTGGCCACAGAACAAGTCAAACGGTACCATTTTAACGAACCTCTTCAGCCACAGGCTGCGTGGAAAGAAAAAAAAAGACCCAGAAAGGGGTTTCTAGTGGCACGAGCCTCGGGACTTGCCTTTTGTTCAAATCCGTAGCAGAGCTTTCGTGCCTTGTAGATGGTGAGGGTCTCGTTTCAAAGACATTGAACATCGGGGTTTGCTGTCGTTTGCACAAGCGCTTGTCCTCCTGCGCCTTCTGTGTCCGCACTGATGCTCTGAGACCAGCAAACCCGTATGGAAAGAGATCTTTTTTATGGGCACCCTCTCACCTTCCTGAGCGGCCCCCCACCCCTTGCCATATAAACGTGGCTATAAGCCCTTTGAGGGCCTGGGAAGGTCAAAAAGTTCACTCTTAACGACTAAGAAAGGCCTGGCAGTGTCTGTCCATGAAGAGTACAGGTGGGTGAGAGGGAGCCTGCCCTCCTCCGGCCTCCAGCCGGTGAAGAGCAACAGCCCCCCAGTGCCAGCTGTGCCCTCGAGCTTTGGTCTCAGAGGGAACAGAAATGCCCCCCACGGGGGTTCCCTGAAAACCAACAACACATTTTGAAAGGAAATGATTAAAGTAGTCACGTGCAAAAGGAGACTGCTGCTGCCATCTCCCTGAACCAGGCGGTGGAGAAGATGCTCCGCGCCCACGAAGATGGCTCCCCTTCCCGGGCAGCCCACATGCTGTTCCTCTGGAAGACCGCGTGGGCGCCGGCCGGGCTCTGGGGGACACATCCCAATGAAACAGCCAGCAGCACCTCGGTCAGGCGTTTGTCAGAATCTGGGCAGTCATTAAGTGAAGCAGAGACAGGGGAGGGCTGCCCAGGGGGGCGAGGGATGCAGTGAGGGAGCCCAGGCTTGCCAAAGCTGCGGGGCAGACAGGGAGGACACCAGGCAGTGGGCACAGCTAGTGTGTTGAGGGGGTGGGTGCAAGGCAGTGGGAGGGCCCAGCGCTGGGTCCCTCAGGGGCTGCCTGGCCTGGGACAGGTCCCTTGGGCTCCCTCGCCTCTGGTTTTCTCATCTGCAAGGGGGAAAGGCCAGGGTCTGAGCACTGTGCTTTGAGGACTATCTACCAGGAAAACGGCTCATTGCCAAGAAGAAGAGAAACGTGGGCTTTCTTTACCTTCTGTTATTATTTTTTTAATGCCAAAGTGTTAGGTCTCTCGGATGGATTGCCTCTGTTCTTGCTTCTCAACACTGAAAGAATTCATGCTGCAGAAGCACTTTTGTCAATCCAGGAACCTCTTATGAGGGACAGGGAGACCTCGGGTAATAGTCTCATATAGTTAGTATCCATCACTGGCAAGCGTGGGAGACTGTGCAAGAGCTCGCCCGGAAGATGGCCCTTTAGGGGAGCACGAGAAACCACCTGGGGAAATGGCCATTAAGAGGAGGCCCGGAACCAAGAGAGGAGTTCCAGAACCACAAAAAGAGCGGGTACGACCCCTGAGAGGGCGCTCATGGGCACCGCGTGCAGGGGAGAGATCTTCCCCTCCAACCTGCAAAGAGAGGGACCGGAGAGAGTGGCGCCCTGCCCTCAGTCTGCACTGCTTGTCCCCACCTCTCCCCACTGGGGAAGGGTGTGGTTGAGGGAATTATTGGCCCATCTTTGTGGCTGAGTTCAGGTGCATGCGTGATGTCATGTTGCTGGTGCCTAATGTTGGGCCCAGGTTGACCTTGACCTGAGCCTAGATGACCGTAGTCTGAGCACCCCCAGCTTTGGATTGTCCCCGTAGGTGTCTAATGGGTGCCCGATTTCTTTCCAACCCTTTTGTGGTGGAATGGCCAGCTAAGTTTTGTTTAATGTCAGCATTCAATGGAGACAACCCCTTTGTCCCTAATCTTTCTGCCTTTCAAAAGTACTTTGGAAAGTGAAAAAAAAATTTTTAAATCATTTATTGGGGGCTTATACAATGCTTCTCACAATCCATGCATCCATCCATTGGGTCCAGCTCATTTGCACATTTGTTGCCATCATCATTCTCAAAACATTTGCTTTCTACTGGAGCCCTTGGTATCAGCTCCTCATTTGGACAAGAGGAAAATAAAAGGAAATCGAGGAAAGAACTAGGAGGTAAAGGGCACTTTAGAGGTCTAAATACAGATATGTACATATGTAAATATACTTATTTATGATGTTGGGTAAATAGATCTATGTGTATATATTTATAGATTTAGTATTAAGGTAGCAGATGAACATTGGGCCTCCACTCAAGTACTCCCTCAATGTAAGAACACTTTGTTCTATTAAACTGGCATTCCGTGATGCTCACTTTCCCGACATAATCGCTGAAGACAAAAGGGTGCATAAGCAAATGTAGTGACGAAAGCTGATGGTGCCCAGCTATCAAAAGATATAGCATCTGGGGTCTTAAAGGCTTGAAGGTAAACAAGCTGTCATCTAGCTGAGAAGTGAAAAATTTTGTGCTGTGGCTTTACCCCACACTAGTCCTTTAAAGGAGTCCCTCTCCTTTTGTGCCCTATGGGTCTTCATTGCTGTTAATAACAAGAACAAACCCCAATGTGAAGTTCACCACTTGCTAACTGAAGTTCTAAGCATTTACATATGAAAGCCCACTCATTCCTCCTGGGCAATTTCAAGGGAAGGTAAAAGCACTCTCCTCGTTCCACAGGTGAAGACGTCAAGACCCAGAGATGGTCAGTAACTTCTCTGAGGCCACAAAGCGTGCAGTCTGAGAGCCAGGGTCTGATCCCAGAGCACATCACCACAGCACGAGACAAAGATGGTTTATCCCCTGCAGGGCACAGCTAGCTGGCTCTAGAAATCTTCCTTTACCTCGCCCCTCTACTCTCACCATGTAAGCCTCACATTAGTTTGTGAAACAGAGTTCAGTGACTTATTTTCAAGGATTAGTTACGTAGAAGAAGAGAGACCTCGGGGTGCAATGGTAGATTGTTGCCTTCTTTGCCAGAGACCCAGGTTCGATTCCTGGCTAATACACTTTAAGGATAGCCACCACTCATCTGTCTGTGAAGGCTTGGTGTGGGGCTGTAATGCTGAGCAGGCTTCAGTACAGCATCTGGACTGAGGAATAAGAAGAAAGGGTTGGCAATCCACTTCTGAAAATCGTTGGAGAAAACCACATGAGTCACAACAGTCTGATGCCTTGGCACGTGGGATCCTTAAGAGCACCTCTGTGGCAGCTGACAATTTTTAACTTCTCCAGGGATATTTGCCTTCCCACTGGAGACTTCTGCGGAGAAGTCTGACCCTGAAAGACTGTCCCCCTACTGGTGGAAATGCAAATGTAGAGAAAGATTTTTTTCCCCCTCCTCCACTCTATGTGTAGCAGACTGTATTAAAGCTTTGCATCAGAGAGAGGATGTTTACAGCCAAGAAAACAGATCATTTACATTTGATTTCATCCTAAGTATTCTTAAAAGTCTCTTGCATTTTCTGCTTCAAGATTTTCCCACTGGCCACATTTCCCCAAGGAGTCCAGCCTTCTACCACGTCACCCATTCTTCCTTCTCTTCTCGCTTCTCTTTCATCGCCCCTCTCTTCCCCAGCCCGCGTTGTGTTCTCCAGCAGAAGAACTTGCCCCCGATAGTTCCTTGGTTTCATAAAATAGTAACACAACGTGTCCAGATGTCTTCTAGAGCCAGATGTTAATATCTCCTTCTCCCATCGCATGTGCCCCAAACCCCAAGCACACTGCCACTGAGTTGAGGTTGACTCACAGAGACGCAATCAAACAGGCTGGAACTGCCCCCGTGGCTTTCCAAGACTGTGACTCTGCAGGAGTAGAAAGCCATTTCTCCTGTGCGGCAGCTGGGGTCTTCAACTGCTGACCTTGCAGTTAGCAGCCCACCACGTAGCCCACTTTTCCACCAGGGCTCCCTCAAATGTGCAATGCCACGTTACAAAGAAGAAAAGAAAGGCAAGATGGCATGGATTCTAGGCAAAAGGACGTGTTCCAAAGAACTGCTGTGACTGCGAATTCTAAGCATTAAGAATCCCAGAGGCAAGCATCACCAGCCTGTAAAGACAGGTTTGTAAGGGCGATGGTTTGGGCCGGGTTCTTGTCCACGTCCTGAAGTACACCTTGTCAGAAGGCCACTGCTCAGGGTGGTTATTATCCGCCTGGAGTTGTTATCCAGATGCCATAGGCATGGCAGAAACTAGGAAGTCAATATACTGCTTTCTCCCAAATGCCTAGCTCAGAGTCACGGCTCCCCTAGCCTCTAAGGCAGTGGTTCTCAACCTTCCTAATGTCATGACCCTTTACTACACTTCCTCATGTGGTGGGGACCCCAGCCATAAAATTGCTTTCGTTGCTACTTCATCA